ATCTCTCTCTATAGCCCAGGCTGGAGTACAGTGGCGTGATCATAGCTCACTGCAGCCTCAAACTCCTGAGCTCCAGGAAATCTCCCACCTCAGCCTCCCAAGAACATGGGATTATAGGCCTACACTGGCACACTCTGGTAATTTTTTTCTTTTCTGTAGAAATGAAGTCTGGCTATGTTACCCAAGCTGGTCTTGAACCCCCGGACTCAAGTGATCCACTCACATCGGGCTCCTCAAGTGCTGGGATTTCAGGCGTGAGCCGCCACACCCAGTCCACCTTCACCGTCTTAAACATAAGAGTTTCAGCGCCCTATAAATTCCCTGTGCTTCACCAAATCATCACTCTCCTCTCTCTCTATTCCTCTACCCCTCTTAATCCATGGTGACAACTGATGATTGTACATCGTCTGGAGTTTTCCCTTTTTCAGGATATCATATATTTGGAATCATACCATAGGAAGCCATTTCATAGTTTCTATTTTCAGATAACAGTATGTGTTCAAGGTCCCTCCATGGCTTTGTGGCTCTTTGGCTCATTTCTCTGTGTCAGTGAGTAATATTCCATTATATGGGTATACCACAGTTTGTTCATTCAAATCTAATGAAACAGTCACCTTGTGCCAGGTGTGGTGGCTCTCACCTGTAGTCCCAGGTACTTGGGTGGCTTAGGTATAAGGATTGCTTCAGGCCAGGAGTTCCAGACCAGCCTGGGTGAGGTAGTGACACCCGTGTCTTAAAAAAATAAAAAAGATAGGCTTATCTTAGTTGATTCTAGTTTTTGACACTTACGAATAAGGCTGCTAAAAGGGTTGATGTGAAGACTTTTGTGGGGACATTAGTTTATAACTTATTTGGGTCAATACCTAGGAGTGTAATTGCTGAACCATAGGGTAAGACCATGTTGGCCTTCTTACGAGTATGCCAGACTGTCTTTGAATGTGGCCGTATGTTTTCCATTCATATTGAAAGTGAATGAGAGTTCCTGTTACTTCACACTTCTGCCAGCATTTGGTGGTGTCGGCGTTTTGGACTTTAGCCACTATATCTGGCCTTGGGTGGGACCTAATTGTTTTATTTATTTATTTTTTAGAAACAGTTTCACGCTGTCACCCAGGCTGGAGTGCAGTGTTGGGATTGTAGCTCACTGCAACCTGGAACTCCTGGACTCAAGTGATCCTCCCAACTCAGCCTCCAGAGTAGGTGGGACTACAGGCCCCTGCCACCACACCTGGCTAATTTTTTTATTTTTTGTAGAAATGGGATCTAGTCATGTTGCCCACGCTGGTCTCAAACTCCTGGCCTCAAGCAGTCCTACCCCTCGGCTTACCAAAGTGCTGGGATAACAGGTTTGAGCCACCCTGCCCAGCCTTCATTCTTGGTTTAATTTGCTCTTCTCTAATGACATGTGATGATGAACATGTTATCATATGCCTGTTTGCTATGTGTGTATCTTCTTGGGTGAGGTTTATTTCCAGAGCTTTTGCTTATTTTTTAAATGGTTGGTTGTTTTCTTCTTGATGTTTAGGAGTTCTTTGTATATTTTGGGTATCAGATCTTTATCAGATAGTCGTTTTGCAAATATTTTGTCCCAGTCTGCAACCTGTTTTTCAGTCTATTAACAGTGTCTTTTGCAAAACAAAAAGTTTTAATTTGAATTAATTCCAGTTTTTCAATTTTCTCGTTCACAGGTCTTGGTTTTGGTGTTACATGTAAATCTTCTTGCCAAATCCAAGGTTGTCTTGATATTCACCTGTGGT